TAATCTGTAATGACAAAAAAAACTGGAAATGAGGCAAACATCCATCACAACAGAGTAAGTTATGGCATATATCCTTACAATAGAATACCAATCCTACTAGATATGACTGACAGCACTAAGAATCAGCGTGGATGAATCAAAAACATACAAGAGTGAAACAAGTATCAGAAGACTCATACAATTTAGATCAAGATTGAAAATGGACAGTATTAAACTACGTTCCGTTTGTGGATATGTAAGTATGGAATAAAAATTACTCTAAGAAACAGCAAACCCAAAATGTAGGGTTAATGGTCACTTCTGGGAACGGGAGAAACGAATGCTATGCGAGATACACAGGGGCTTTATGTTTTAGTTCTTGGTCATTTTCTTCTTCTTTTTGAAAATTCTACATGTGTTTTTATACCTCATCCTTTATACCTTCTTTGGCATGTAGTGCGTATTTTTCAACAAAAATGGTAAAGTATGCAAAATACGATCCCACTTTTTTAAAAGTATATACTTTATATAAAAGAATAATGATTAATACTAAAATGTTATACCATAATGACATTTTCATTCTATTCTTTCAAATTTTCTAAAATGTATTTTCTTAGCTAAAATAGTGCCGGCCAAAGGTTTCTCTCAGCCACCTAACATAGAAGAGGCAAGGATTGAGCCTCCCAAAGAAGTGCTGTTCTACTGATACCTTGATTTTAAACGTCTGGCTTTCAGAACTGTGAGAGGAATCACAGTTTTCCTTGTTTTAAGGAATCAAAAAGAAAGATAGTGCCGACCAGCCTGCCCCCAAAACCTTTCCATAAAATGGAAATCTGTAATTGAATTTGAGAAAAAAAGGGGGAGTGGGTTTGGTCTAGAAAACAATTTAAAGTTAGGCTTGTCAATCAATCCGAAAGCCAGTCATTTTTTCCAAAACCGTGTTTCAGTTAAACTTTTATTTTTTTGAAGCCCACTTTTTCTCTGTTATAATGATTTGACAATGCCAAACACTGTTATCAAATGTGAAGTTCCCATACTTCAAAGAGCACACATTCCAGCCAGGTAGACACACAATAGAGGTAGCATACTACACACCTTGCCCAAGCCCATCCATCTGCTTGGAAAGCAGCATGATAGGGTGGCAAGTACAGTCAAAAGGCCTTTAACTTTCTCAGTTGAGCCTGAGTGAGTGTTCAGAGTGTTTTTGTATGGGGAGTGAAGGGACAGAAGGAGGCAGAAAAAGAGAATGGTGAGAAAATAAGACAGAAATAAGAGAAAAAGATGGAGGATGTAGAGAGAATTAAAGAAGACAGAGAGGGAGAAAGACAGCATTAACAAGTAATCTGGGCTTCAAAAAGTCTTCATAAGTAGATTATCTACTTGACAGAGAATGAGACTACATGTGAAAAAAATATGTAAGTAGTAATGTATTATTATTGGAATGTATATGTTCAGTACAAGGATAAATGAGAAAATTCCTATGTAACATCTTAAAAACAGGTTAACATCATCACTGCCAGTATCAAGAAACAGAGTTACAGCAACAGGTCTTAAATCCAAATGAAATTCTCTCTTCTGTAAATCTTTGAAAATGTTCTCATAAGGAAACAAGTTTTAGACCCAAATATGTTCTATTACTTTTAGAGTCCTAAATGAAGACAGACAAGCAACACATTCCTAAGAACTTTTGAAAGAATACAGCCTGGTCTTAAATAAAGCTATTCTTTAATCCAAGCCCCAGTTCATAAATTAATTCAAAGTTAACTGGGTTCCAATTCAACTGAGCTCATAACTCCAGTATGAAAATGAGTTAACCTAAAAATCGAGATTCACTCTAGTACACATGCTATGTCGGCCAGAAATTTAAAAACCTGGTCTTCAAATCCTATGCCAAGAAATTCCAAAAGCTAAAATAGTTTATTTTCTTAAAAAAATATAACATAATGTTCCTCATGTAATTGTAGATTAATGATACCAAAATAAAAAAATAAAAATAAAAAAAAGCAGGACATGAAGCATCTTCCAGACATACTGCCAAGAAAACTTAAAAAAAAAAAAATGAGTAACAAGTATCAGCATAGGGAGTTTGCATTGTAATTGTCAAACTAAGCCAATTAATTTGGTTCTTGGACTTGAAGAAAACAAGAATTGCATTCCTAAGTATTTATTTATGGTTAGGTCAAAATTATTTCAAAATCTATTACATGTTACAAGGTGAAACTCTCTTACAAGTCTGCCCTCCCTTTACCTTCCTTCAAGTTGTATCTGCTGTTTGGTCGGGGGCAGGGGGGGCGCCAGGGGGAGAGGCATTGTTCCTAAAAATCAGACATCCACCAGCTCACCAGTCAACACCACTGTTGCCATAACATTCAGCTTTTAAAGGACACTGCATTTACTCACATTAAGCAGGCTAATTGATATTTGCTAACCTACAGGTTTCCTCTCAAGAATTAATAAAGATTTAAGAGCAGAGGGACTTCATCTGTGAATTCATGCAGACTCCTTTTGAGCAGGCATTAATCCTTTGTAATTCACTTACATCAAAAGTGCTATAACAACAAAATCTCAAGGTCATTAAAAAAAAAAGGACTGGGGAACCAACAGTTCAAGGTGAACACTTTCAAAGTAAGAGCTTCACTTCAGACCAGTAGAAACTTTCAAGACTGGTTTATACTTTCTACATGTAGTTTACGCTGAAAGGAGTAGAGAGCAACCAGTTCCCATCAAAGAAAAAGTATGAAAGTATAAAAAAGTTCTCCTACCATTTCTCCCCAAACACTAAATCACTCAGATTAACAGCAAGAGACTCTCATAATAAGCACTGCACAGGCTGCACAAGGTACCAGGAAAGGGAAGCTGAGATATTGTAGTTCTTCCAGCCTGGTTCTAAAGGAACTTCCATGTGACTACTGCAGGTCCAGCCCACATTTAAAGAGAGAGGCCAAAGGAAATCAGAACAGCAGAAAACAGGCAAGAGAAGCAATTTCCACAGACCTTTGCCGGGTCTTCGTTCCCTTGCCACCACTGCCAGACACATTTCAATCCTAACAAAAACCTCCCTTCTCCTAATTATTATGGGTCAGAAGCAACAGAGAATCAAACAAGGAAATCACAGCTGTGGGAAAAAAGCAGGAGAGGGGTGAGGGAAAAATCTCATCACACATGTGAAATTGCCACTCAGAAGGAACATACTGGAGACAAGCAGAAGAGTGGCGAGAAAACGAATCATTTCTGCCTGATGCTAAGAAGAGCCTTGGCAAGGAGAACAGCCCTAGCCAAGGGGGCCTGCAGGCACTTAAGAGATGTTGGTGTACTGGAAGAACCTACCGTCTCCTAAGGGTGACATTCATTCCCTTTCCTGAGACAGACAGGCACTACCCTAATCCAAGCACCCAATGCCTAGGTTACAGGAGAGTTTAGGTATTATGTTCATTTTCCTTCCACCTTTATTAGACAAACTGACACTAAAATTAGAATGTGCAATTCATGGCAAAAAGTGAGAAATACACTATTAACATACCTCTTGGTTAAAAAATGCTATCATAAGGGAAGAGAAAATAAAAGAACTAGGTTTACCCAAAAACTTGCATGCCCTTCAAATAAAAGATGACCTTTGGATACCTTATGTAGACCTTTAAAAACTTAACTGTTAAAGACACACAGTTGCTGAATGCAGACAGACAATAAGCCTAAATACTGGCAGACCATATAGCTCAGATATAACCACCACAGGATCATGTCAAACAGGAAATAACTAGAATGATGATGGGATCAACTACAGAGAACAAGGATAAGAGACCAGACTGGTAACACTTGAGAGGCCTGGGCAACTAATTCAATTGAAAACCCAGGGCAAAAGGTGGGAAAGCGAAGTGGGAAAAGTGATTTAGAAGGAAAAAAACTGAGATGTAATATACTAATTAAGGAATAACATTTCGAATATGTATTATAACACAGGTTTAGTTTACAAAACGCTCTCAAACCTAAAGTAAAGAACTATGACACAACCAAACTACAGGAACTGGGGGAAAAAACTGGGTCCCAAGAGTCTGACACCAAAGCCTTCCAAACGAAAAGGAGAAGCAGAATTTAACTATGCCTCCGGGTGAGCTGGGAAAGACTAGAGAGCGCAGAAGTTGGGTCCTGAGATATGCAGTCCCGGGACTAGACAGGCGTGGAAACGGAAAGGTGGTCAGGATGGGGAGCTTCAACGTGGAGAGGCAGCTCCAGCGGACTGGCAGGAAAGGGACAGAGGTGTGGGAGAAAACCACACCCTCCCAGGCAGAAACCCGAAGGGGGGAGGGGAAAGCGCCCCCGGGGGGTTGGGTGGGGCAGGGCCGACTAGGACCTGGGAAGGCAGGAAACAGCACAGGGCAACCCACGGGAGAGAGGAAAGAGGGCGCCTGGGCCTGAGCATACTGCGGACGTATGAAACTGGCGAGGGAAGCTCGGCCCGCACCGCACGGGTAGACGCTGGGGCACTACGAAGGGGACAGAGGAAAAAGCTGAAACCAGAACTAGAAAGCACACGCTACAGCGCTCAGAGACCTGGAACGGGAAAGGACAGAAGGTACCAATTACCGCTGCTGTTCTCGCTGGACTCGGGACCCACCGCTGCCACCGCCGGTCGTTACCTGCCAATGTGCCTCTTACAAAGCGGCGGCGGCGGCAGCAGAGGCGATTATGCCCGTCACGTGATCTCCGCGTCACGGACTAAGGAGGGGCCACCACACGTAGCTCGTGCGCAGCTCTTCTGCCCGCCCACAGAGCGCGTCCCTTCCTCTAGCTAACCCCCACGCCTACGTGCGAGGCCCACAGAGCCCAGGCCCTCAATAATGAGCAAATACGGGAGAGATTTTTGGTATTTCTGGTACTCGGACTATTAGGAGTACTACCCACCGCATCCAGGACGCTCACAACTGCAGCTCCTAGTCACGCTGTGATGACCTCACAAGGCCCAACAAAGTCGCTCCCCTGCGGCCTTACTGTCACGTGATGTGGCCCGCCCACTCCGGGCAAAGCCTAGCCTCCCAAACCTTGCACGAGCTGACTGCGACTCCCGGCCTGCTGCACAGCAAAGTCACTCACCACCGCACCGCAGCCTTCCCCTGGAGGTTTCATAGATGTCGCGTTTGTGACTTAGTGACGAAGGTAAGGCCGAGATGGAAAGCGGATACGGCTAGCTTCTGAGACATACCAGTAGATGCCACCGGCCAGGTGGCTGAGCGTGATTCCTGCTGGGAGATGTAGTCCGGCCGTGGGTGGGGTTCCGCTACACGTTCCCGGGCTCGCGCCCCGCCCCGCACGCGGGAAAACGCCAACGGCTGTCCTTGGTAACAGCACCACGCTTCAAAAAGCCCAGGGATTTAGGTTTTCTTAAATGTGGGATCGAATTCTGCGTTCCCAAGCCCGTTTTGCGTGAATTAACATTTATTGAATGCCTACTCGATGTCAGCCATTTACACAACCATTTTTATTCAATCTTAGCAAACCTTTTGAAACAGGATTGTCTTATTTTAATGATAAAGGGTTAGAGCGGTTCAGTTGTTTCCTGGCTAAAATACCCAAACCAGATTTTCTATCTCCAAACAAGTAATAACCCTTTTCTCAAGAAAGATCTAACCTGTTTTAACTGCAGCAATTCAGGATAAAAGAGGAAATAATGTTTTTTAATTGTAACATAGTGTTTTAGCGTTAAAAGCATTTTCTCATTTTCTGGCCTATTTGATCATCAAAGGCAGTATCCCAGGCTGATTTGATAAACAGACTTTGGAGTCCAGCAGGCTTTGTCTTAATTGGAGCCCTCCTTTGTGTTAATACCACTTCAAGTTGTGAAAATTAAATGAGATTATGTAAATAAAGTAACCTGCTTGGCAAGTAAACCCTCAATAAATATTAGTAATTATATTCACACCATATACGTATTTTTGATAATTAGCATATCCTGATTTTTGTGCAGGACACTATGTTAATTACTGACTTGCTAGTTACTAGTAGACTGTAGGTTAAACTACTTGATGAAAAACAATTGAAACCTTAAGAGTTTTGCCCAATTCAAGGGAAGCTTGTTATCATCTGAATTGATCAGAGAATGCTCAGGCTATGCCTTTAACAAAATTTATTGTCATGACCATTCATGTGTAGATATTATCTCTACACAGGATTGTGTCTGGTCTGTTCAATCAACATTGAGAGGTGAAGATTTAATGGAAAGAGCACAAGAAAACAGTTCTGAAAGGATACATACAAACCTGATAGCAGCAGCTGTGGCTGAGGGTGGGCAAGAGGTCTGTGATTGAGGGTACTAGTCAAAAGCGACTATATCTGTATTTTAATTTTTTTATATAGGGCAGATAATGATGTTTTAATTAAAGATTAACATTAAGAAAGGAGACACCAGAGACCATGTGTTACCTGTGTGACACTGTACAAGCTATGTCACCTCTCCAGGCCTCTATTTCCTGTTCTATTATTGTATTAAAATATATCCACCTTTTCTGTACCAGGCATACTGTGCTAGGTGCTTTCATTAAATTGTAATTTATCAAAGGAGAAATCCTACCTAGGAACTAGAATCAGGAAAATAAGGGCATCAACGTCCTAAAATCTCACTAATTATAGTTATTACCACCTAGATGCAATAGAACTCTCCTCTCACAGTAGTCTCCCCTATAGGATACCACAATCACCCCTTTCCAGCCAGGCTGAGATAAGCTAATTTCACATCCTGTGACTGCAAAGAACATCACCATCCAATTAACCTGTTTATGTTTGCTTAAGTGCACTTGGCTAGACTAAAGTGAGAGCATAATGCAATGGAAAATACACTGGAGAAATTCTCAGAAGCTTCGATTTTTCTACACACGTGGCTGGCAATAAGGTAGGTGGGTAAAATTAGTTTTTCTTAGATGAGACTCATTTCAGACAGAATCAGTAATAGGTGGCTGAGGTTTAGGAAGATAGAATCAAGGCGTATAAACTCCAAAGCAGGATTTTCACAATCTAGATAAAACTAAATTCTAGAATCAGTTCAAATCTTATCTACTCCCTCAAAGTAAAATAAATGGTCATAATCAAATGCATTATACCCTGCCCAAAGAATGCAATAACTGAGAGGGAATGGTCTAGTTAAAAAAGTGAGCTTTAAGAAGCAAAAATGTACACAATGCAGAGAAAAGGGTGGTGTGACCAGCATGTGGAACACTTTGGTCCCCTTGGCAGATCTCTGCCTTTAATGGATAGAGATTGGTGCTCCATACCTATTAGTCATAAAGATTACCCAAGATCGCCCAATGTATGTCCCATGTCACCAACAACCTTCTGATTAGAATTCAGCTTTTCATATTTTCCTCCAGGGGGGTGAATGCATTATTGGCTAGAGGACCATATGTGCTTTTGCTTGGCTGAAAATTAATACACTGACAATGACACTTGGCAGTATACCGTCATTTCTGAGGTATATTTATGCCCAAAGCCAGCTGAGCTGTGGGCATGCTGGCCTGTGAAAGCAGTAAACAAACAGTTAATAATTCAGCCACTGTGTGAGACTGGTATGGAATAACCAAAAAGACTCCCTACTAACACTGTTGTGTCTCATTTCTCTAAAAGGCCAGTTCCCTCGTAATACTCCTAATTAACAACTTGCCCTTCCTAAGCCTGTTTCTTCATAAATAGACAGGAACTAAATTCTGCTGCTTACCTTATTAGGCATTGTCAGGTTCATGCAAGATATTGCATATGAAAGTCTTTAGAAATAATTGGAATATAAAAATTATAAGGAACTATATTACCAGAAAAAACTTTATTTGGTTACACCAGTACTTATATAGCCTTAGTCAGTGGTTAAGGCTTCAGTTCTAGAGGAATCCAGAAAGGCCTGGATTCAGAACAAGAGTCAGCAAACTACAACTCATGGACCAAATCCAGCCCACTTCCGGTTTTTCAAGAACCCACTATTTAAGAATGGTTAGCCCTGGACAGATACATGTAAGAGAATGAAACTGGATTATTACTAACCCCATACACAAAAGTAAGGTCAAAATGGATCAAAGACCTGAATGTAAGTCATGAAACCATAAAACTCTTAGAAAAAAATATAGGCAAAAAACTCTTGGACATAAACATGAGCAACTTTGTCATGAACATATTTCCCTGGGCAAGGGAAACAAAAGCAAAAATGAACAAGTGGGATTATATAAAACTAAAAAGCTTCTGTACAGATACCATCAGTAGAACAAAAAGACATCCTAAAGTATGGGAGATATTCATAAATGACAGATCGGATAAAGGGTTGACATCCAAAATATATAAAGAGCTCACACACCTCAACAAACAAAGCAAATAATCCAATAAAAAAATGGGCACAGGATCTGAACAGACACTTCTCCAAAGAAGAAATTCAGATGGCCAACAGACACATTAAAAGATGCTCCACATCGCTAATCATCAGGGAGATGAAAATTAAAACCACAATGAGATATCACCTCATACCAGTTAGGATAGATAGCATCAAAAAGACAGACAACAATAAATGTTGGTGAGGATGTGGAGAAATGGGAACCCTCCTACACTGCTGGTGGGAATGCAGATTAGTTCAACCATTGTGGAAAGCAGTATGGAGGTTCCTCAAAAGACTCAAAATAGAAATACCGTTTGACCCAGGAATTCCACTCTCAGGAATTTACCCTAAGAATGCAGCAGCCCAGTTTGAAAAAGACATATGCACTCCTATGTTTATCACAGCACTATTTACAATAGCCAAGAAATGGAAGCAACCTAAGTGTCCATCAGTAGATGAATGGATAAAGTAGATGTGGTACATATACACAATGGAATATTATTCAGCCATATGAAGAAAACAAATCCTACCATTTGCAACAACATGGCTGGAGCTAGAGGGTATTATGCTCAGTGAAATAAGCCAGGTGGAGAAAGACAAGTATCAAATGATTTCACTCATCTGTGGAGTATAACAAATAAAAAACTGAAGGAACAAAACAGCAGCAGACTCACAGAACCCAAGAATGGACTAACAGTTACCAAAGGGAAAGGGACTGGGGAGGATGGGTGGGAAGAGAGGAATAAGGGATAAAACGCAGCATTACAATTAGCACACATAATGTAGGTGGTGGGGATATGGGGAAGGCAGTATATACAGAGAAGACAAGTAATGATTCTATAGCACCCTTCTATGCTGATGGACAGTGACTGTAATGGGGTATGTGGGGGGGACTTGATAATAGGGGGAGTCTAGTAACCATAATGTTCAAATAATTGTACATTAACAATATCAGAAAAAAAAATGGTTAGCCAAAATATATAAAAATTCACATGCCTCAACACCCAAAAAGCAAATAACCCGATTAAAAAATGGGCAGAAGATATGAACAGACCCCTCTCCAGAGAGATTCATATGGCCAACAGGCACATGAAAAGATGCTCCACATCACTAATTATCAGGGAAATGCAAATTAAGGCAACAATGAGATATCACCTCACACTAGCTGGTGAGGATGCAGAGAAAGGGGAACTCTCTTACACTGCTGGTGGGACTGTAAACTAGTTCAACCATTGTGGAAAGCAGTATGGAGGTTCCTCAAAAAACTAAATTAGAAATACCATTTGACCCAGGAATCCCACTCCTAGGAGTTTACCCAAAGAAAACAAGATCCCAGATGCAAAAAGATGCATGCACCTCTATGTTTATCACAGCACTATTTACAATAGCCAAGATACAGAAGCAACCTAAGATCCATCAGTAGATGAATGGATAAATATGTCATACATATACACAATGGAATATTATTCAATCATAAGAAGAAAACAAATCCTACCATTTGCAACAACATGGATGGAGCTAGAGCGTATTCTCAGTGAAAAAAAGCCAGGTGGAGAAAGAAAAGTACCAAATGATTTCACTCATTTGTGAAGTATAACAACAAAGCAAAACCAAAGGAACAAAACAGCAGCAGATCACAGACTCCAAGAAGGGGCTAGTGGTTACCAAAGGGGAGGGGTAGGGAAGGATAGGTGGGGAGGAAGGGAGAAGAGGATTGAAGGGCATTATGAGTGGCACACATGGTATGTGGGTGGGGGGGGTCACAGGGAAGACAGTAGAGCACAGAGAAGACAAGTAGTGACTCTGTGGCATCTTACTATGCTTATAGACAGTGACTGCAGTGGGGTCAGGGGGACTTGATAATATGGGTGAATATAGTAACTACAATGTTGATCATGTGAAACCTTCAAAAAAGCATATATCAATACCTTAATTAAAAAAACAACAAAAATAAAAGAACGGTTAGCCATCTTTAAATGGCTAAAAAAATCAAAAGAATACTCTTTCATGGCATACAAAACATAAGAAATTCAATTTCATTGTCTATTAAGTTCTATGTAACTTAGCCATGCTTTTTCATTATGTATTATCTATGGCTGCTTTCATGCTACAATAGCAAGGGGGAATATTTGTAATAGAAGCCACATGGCCAGAAAGGATAAAATGTTTACTGTCTGGCCTTACACAAAAGTTTGCCAACCCCTATTTTAGAAGAACCGACATGACCTTCAGCAAGGTACTTAAGCTTTCCTGCCTTAGTTTTCTCATCTGCAAAATGGGGATAATAATAACTACCTTAGAGATTTGTCTAGAGGACTGAAAGTGTTAAATTATAGTATTGGGTTTGGGTTTTTTTTTTTCTTTTTATCCTTTTGGACTGCAACCCACAAAAGGAAACACATACATACACACACACATATATATATATATTATATATATGACTAAAATGTTTTACAAAATAATATCCATATTTATGTACTCTGAGAGTTTCAGTATATCTTTCATCTAACATCCCTTAATGTAAATATTTTACATAATCATGGCTCATTCACTTCTGATAGTTTTCTATTCTACTTCTGCTTTCTAAAAAAATAGTTTCTCCTAGCCAAAAATGGAACAATTTGAGCAAGAAAATAATTATAATATTTGGCTCTAACTCAAAGAATAAAATAAATGTCCATTAGCCAATGCTGATGTAGATAGATGAATGAATAAATAGAAGAGACAACTCTTTCTTATATAAGAATTCCAGTTAATAAACATAAAAAGAATGAAATTTAAAAATCACCTTTAGATATGCCACAGAAATTGTTGTACCAATGAATAATAAAATAAGTGAGGAAAAGTTTAAGGAGAAATTCTATTTACATAGTCTCAGAGTATATCCCTCAAAATGTTTATGAATTACTATGGTGGGTTTTTAGTTGTTTTCTTTTGTTTTTATTAATTTTCATGGTAAATCCAAAGGTGTTCTAAGAGATTACTGTGGTGTTTTAACTAATTGTTTTATACTCCTCCCTTCAGGATTCCCTCCCCCTTGAATGTGGGCTCAACTTCATAACTCATGTCTAACAAATAGAGAATGGAACAGGAAAAGTAACTTTACAATGTGGAGATTTAACAGACATCACCTTAACCAACTGATCAAAGTCAACAGCAGAGTAAGAAGTTATATGATATCATGTACAACCTGGTAGTGAGGCAATGTGAAGGGCATATCACCTCCGTGTCATTCTTCCCAAAAATTCATCCTCTGAGCATAATCATAAGAAAACAGCAGACAAACCCAAACTGAGGCCCATTGTACAAAACACTTGCCCAGTACTCTTCAAATGTATCAGTCATAAGGAACAAGAAAAAAACTGAGAAACTGATACAGATCAGAAGAGACTACGGAGACATTTCAACTAAATTCACTCCAGTGTCTTGGTTTGAATCCTAGGATAGAAAAGTGGCATAAATGGGAAAAGTGTGGAAATACAAATAAAGTCTGCAGTTTGGTTAAAAGTTTTGTACTAGTATTCATTTCTTACCACGATTGTATAAGATGTTAACATGCAGAGAAGCTAAATGAAGAGTATATAGAAACTTTCTTTTAAATTATTTCAAATAATTATTATTTCAATTTTTTCAAAAATAAGTTTAAAAAAACAGCTGCTCACAAACTACTAACCTGATTTCCCAGCCCAGAAATGCATCTAGATTTGCAGGTTGAAAAATACTGAGTTAATTCAAGCAAAATATTTAGAACATTGTCTGGCACATAGTAAGTGCTCAATAAATACTAGCTAGTACTAACGAGACAGGGACCATGGGGTGTAGTCAGAGTAGGGTGACGGCCTCCGGAGAAAGCAAGGCAGGGTATTTACAGTCAGAGCAATGTAACTACATGCAAGGAAGCCCCCCTATCAAAACTCTGTGTTAAACATTAAGCTCTAGAGTCATTCTTCAGGGAGATCAGATCACATGTTTTTATTATGCTAATCATTTGTAATCATAAGATTCACTTAAGCATGTTGAAAGGCCCAGGCCTGTGTGTTGTCTTTCCTCCTTCAGACCTGATGAAGTGACTTGCAGTCTGCACAATGAATAATGGCAAAGGCATAAACAACATACTAAAAGGCAAGAAGGAGTCCACCTTAAAGATAAGATTGCATTTTAACACCCAGGAACTTCAGAACTAAGATTCTTAACTTACTCCTTAGCAAACAATACCTCAGCCCACCTTGGGGGCTGGGCAGGCGGCCTTGTTTGATATGCTCCCAGACCAAAATGCTGGTTTCTCAGGGAAAAATCAGAGCAGGAAGTTGTTTGTGTTAATTCTAAATATTCAGGGACCACTTAACAAGTCCACATCCCTAAGCCTTTTTTTTCACTTTCCCAAAAATTCTGAACTGCCTATAAAACCTCTAGACAACACACTACTAGGGACTCTCTTGTCCCCTCCTGGCACCAGCCAGAGCTCTGTCCTCTTGATGTATCTCTCAATAAAAGCCTTTCCCTGGCTTTCCTACCTTGGGTGTTTGCTAAGTTCATTCTTTGACTCCTCAAACAAGAACCCTGGCATCACTAATATCCAATAATAATGTTAGTTCTCTTTCAGGTTCTCTTTCTATTTTTTTCAAAAGAGAATTGCCTGTAGTGGCTGAAAATACATGGACCTTAATATAGGATATCATATATCATCTGTATCAATCAGAATGAAGAATCCAGGCCAAAGTGGGAAGACACTGTTTTGGGGTAATAAAACAATTTATCATAAGTCTATTACCATAGTCTCCAATTTGTTATACCTAAAATATTGGAGCTACAATATCCCCATTTCAAAATACATATTTCTTAGCATAAGGGTGCCAGGAAGAACCTTCAGAAAAAGACACAGAGGGACAGAAAAAAATTAAACAGTCTAAGTTAGACTTTACAAACATCTGCTACCATGACAAGAATGTGCTTGCTGTCAACTCATAAGAACACAGATTCTTTTCTTGCAGATAAAAGTAAGTAGGGAGACAATGTATTAACAAACTGGAGGAAAGATTGAGAGCCACAGTGTACTCATTGTACCAAAATGATTTAAAGATAAGGGGGTAAAACTAACATTTATTGTCTGATACGTACAGTACAATATATATGTCCATCTTTTTTTAATCCCCATTACAGGGTTGCAGAAAAGTATTTTAATTTTACAGAATAACAAACAGGAGAGGACACATTAAATAGCAGAACCAGGATTCTAAAGTTTGACTACAAAGCCCATGCCCTTTCCACTAAATCAGGTTGCTACTCTATATAAAGGTGTCAAAAAAAAATTTTTTTAATTGAAAAGTTTGAAGAAAACAGAAATGGTTGTCTAAGCCATGGAGAAGCAGGAAGGAAATAATCAACAGATAAAACTACTGTTAAATATAAAATATTTCTAGCATTAAAAAAAATTAAAAGGCAAACAGTAGGTAGTGTGGAAAAACAACCCAATTAATTTTTCAATGATTAATATTTTCACCATTAATAAAAACTCATACAAATTTATAAGAACACTGAAATTTTTGTAGCTAAATGGACAAAGCATACCAATAATTCCTAAAAAAGGAACATAGCTAATCAACAAACACGGGAAAATATTTTGCCTCTCTAACAACTTGTTCAATGGAAGTTATAGCAATAACATGCATTTTGCCTACCAAATTAATCAAGAATAAAAATAATGATGCCACCCAGTGGTAATCAGTGTTTAATAAAAGAGTTATTCTCTTATTTGGCTAATAGGACTATAAATTGGCATAAACCTTTGGAAAGCAAAACTTGTAATATATTAAAACCCCTTCATCCAAAGCAATTCTGGTACTCTACACTAAGGAAATAATTTCAAATATGGAAAAAAAACTTTTTATGCAGATAAAGGCATTTCTCACAGCTGTATGACAGCAAAATACTGGGAACACCTTACATTGTCTGACTATAGAGGAATCGTTAAGTAAATTATGACATTCTTCCTAGATCCCATATTAGGCAGACTTTATAATATTTATATTCCCAGGACATGGGAAAATGCTTGCCTGGTACTGTTGTGTATAAAAAAACAAAACCAAATCACTGACTGAATATAACTATGTAAGTATATTATGTGTAGGAAAGAGACTGCAAATACATAAGAAGAATATTAAGATGGGCCATATTTAAGTAATGGGATTATAAGCAACATTCGCCCATTTTCACTTCTGTATTTTCAAATTGCTTTAATACTCAGTTCTTCATAATTTAAAAAATGATTAAACAAACTACTTAGAGCTGGGATATTGAAAGCTATATTCCCTGAGAAGAATCCAAACTGTATGAATATAATAACTTATCAGCAAGGACTGAATTTCTAGGAGGTGTTTTGTGATGACTTATGTCCCTGTCAAATACATATGCTGAAGTCCTAAACCCTAGTGCTACAGAATGTGACTGTAATTTGGAGAAAATGTCTTTAAAGAGGTAACTAAGGTTAAATGAGGCCATGGGGGTGAGCAGTAATTCAAATTGACTGATGTCTGGACACAGAGGGAGACAAAGAGAAAAGACCAAGAGAGAAGGCAGCCATCTATAAGCCAAAGAAGCCTCAGAAAATAACGACCCTGCCAACATCTTGATTTTGGACTTGTAACCTCCAAAACTATGAGAAAATAGATTTCTGTTGTTCACGCCATCCCTTCTGTGGTACTGTCTTACAGTAGTGCTAGCAAACTCATACAGTTGCTTATTAGAGTTCTGCTGAAAAGGAAGAGGGACTGGCAAAAAATAGCCTTCCTTCCCCTTGGAAGAGATTATTTTAATTCTGGTAATTCCATAGTTAGGGAAGTAGAGCTAGGGATGTCCATGTCTGATGAAGAATAGAATCCTCTGAGATCAGGAACAAGACAGGGATGCCCACTCTACCCACTGTTACTCAACATAGTACTGGAGGTCCTAGCCATGGCAATTAGACAAGACAAAGAGATACAAGGAATCCAGATTGGTAAAGAAGAAGTTAAACTGTTACTATTTGCACATGACATGATATTGTACATAAAAAAACCCTAAAGACTCCACTCCAAAACTACTAGAACTAATACTGGAATTCAGCAAAGTTGCAGGATACAAAATTAATACACAAAAATCTGTTGCTTTCCTATACACTAACAATGAACTAACAGAGAAATCAGGAAAGCAATTCCATTCACAATTGCATCAAAAAGAATAAAATACCTAGGAATAAACCTAACCAAGGAAGTGAAAGACCTATACCCTGAAAACTACAGGACACTTAAGAGAAATTAAAGAGGACACTAACAAATGGAAACTAATCCCATGCTCTTGGCTAGGAAGAATTAATATCGTCAAAATGGCTATCCTGCCCAAAGCAATCTACAGATTCAATGTAATCCCTATCAAATTACCAACAGCATTCTTCAATGAACTGGAACAATAGTTCAAAAATTCATATGGAACCACCTAAGACCCCGAATAGCCAAAGCAATCCTGAGGAGGAATAAAGAGTGGGGGTGGGTCTCGCTACCCAACTTCAAGCTCTACTACAAAGCCACAGTAATCAAGACAATTTGGTACTGGCACAAGAACAGACCCAAGACCAGTGGAACAGAATAGAGACTCCAGACATTAACCCAAACATATATGGTCAATTAATATACGATAAAGGAGCCATGGACATTCAATGGGGAAATGACAGCCTCTTCAACAGTTGGTGCTGGCAAAACTGGACAGCTACATGTAAGAGAATGAAACTGGATCACTATCTAACCCTATACACAAAAGTAAATTCAAAATGGATCAAAGACCTGAATGTAAGTCATAAAACCATAAAACTCTTAGAAAAAAACAGGCAAAAATCTCTTGGACATAAACATGAGCAACTTCTTTATGAACATATCTCCCTGGGCAAGGGAAACAAAAGCA